AGTATTACTTGCTCGTTTTCCAGACGGAGAAAAATAATTAAATATACATTTTGGCTAAAATTAAATTTATTTTTTTTAGTTATTTGTTATTTATTTCTGCATTTATACTTCATTTTAGTGCCTTAAAGCCACCCCGAAGTCCGCAGCTGCAGCAGCAAGGCTTTGCTGCTGCTGCTGCTCTTCTTCGGGTGTCTGTACACCTCTTCGGGTGTCTGTACACCTCTCCAGGTGTTTGTACACCTCAAACGAGCCGCCAGCAGCAGCTCTTTTCTGCTTCCAGCTTTTCTCCCTAAACTCTAAAGGGTCTTTTAACTAAACCCTAAACCTTAAACCCTGAAGGGTGTTTTAACGAAACCCTAAAACTCTTTTCATTCTCAAATCCACTTTATTGGTCATGCAGGCAGCAGCAAGCTGCAGCAGCAGACGCAGCACGTTGGGCCCCCAGTGCCCCCCAGCAGCAGCAGCAGCACCAAGCAGCAGCAGCAGCAGCAGACTGGACGGCGAGCCTGAAGCAGCAGCAGCAGCAGCAGTAGCAGCAGCAGACGCAGCAGCAGCAGCAGGGGGCCCCCTGACGGAGACTCAGCGGCTGCTGCTGTGGTCCGCTTCCCCAGGGGCCCTAGAGCTGCAGGGGGCCCCCCAGGGCCCAAGGGGCGCCACAGGGGGCCCCCCTGGGGGCCCCCAGGGGGGCCCCCCGTGCTCCCCTTCTGAAGCGCTGCTGCACTCTTTAGGGGACAAGGGCCTCCGCAGCGAGCTGAGGGCCCCCCCCTATTTATCTGCTGCTGCTTGGAAGCGTTATTTGCTGCTGCAGTGTCTTGAAGATGCTCGTTTGCTGTTTTCTTGTGTCTGGGATGCATGCAGCTGCAGCAGCATGGGGCTGCCCAGCAGCAGCAGCAGCAGCAGCAGCAGCAGCGGCGACGCAGAAGGGGATGGGGCTCTGGATGCTGCTATTCACTTTGCTGCAGCAACGCAGAGCGCACGCAAGAGAAGGCTGCAGCCTGAGAAACCAGAAGCAGCAGCAGCAGAAGCAGCAGCAGCAGCAGAAGCAGCAACAGCAGCAGAAAAATATGCTGGCTCTCTAATTGATAATACGTCCAATAATGACAGCTCAGCTACACAAACGATAACAGCAGCACCAGAAGCAGCAGCAGCAGCAGCAACAGCAGCACAAACAGCAGCAGCAGCAGCGGAAGCAGCAGCAGCACCTACAGCGCGCGAGTACATATCGGCGACGATGTCTTGGTCTCTGAAGCAACTCGAAGACCCCGCGCTGTTTGCTGCGTCTCCCCCCTCCTCCCCAGCAGCAGCAGCAGCAGCAGCAGCAGCAGCAGCAGCAGCAGCAG